TCAAAACAACCCAACCGCTGGGTCAAAACAACCCGATAGCTGGGTTTGTCCCTTTTTAACAGCATTTTTAGAGTGTAGGTTCAAAAGAGAACAGATAGAAAAAAAGAGGTTAAAATGTGCTTGTTTATGTTCACTGAACGATTTTCATTGAATAAAGTATGTCAAATCAAATGACATTACATCTCTGAAGTAAGACTTATTGTTCATTGTGTTCGTGAAGAAACTTCAGACTGACGCACCGAGGACATCTAGTGGGCACGCGCGGTCACTGCGTTTGCACAATTTTTGGCTCGTTTTTAAGTGGGGTGACGTGATTGTATTGTGTGTTCTGGTGACGTGGAACGGGACGTCCAACCTTGCAAAAGAGATTCAATTGAATAAAGCTTCCTTGGAGTTCAAGGCCATCACAGCCGAGCGGTGGGTGCATGAGCGCATCACGTTGCTCATATTGAACTCAGACGCGTTTCATTGGTCAGAGGACAGAGCTCTGGACGGGAGGGGCTCGGATCCGGACCGCATAGTTATATCTCATTCATAAATTACACAGGACGCTAGAGTAGTGCACTACTGTCTGCTGAGGGAAACCGGCCAGTTTTGGAACAATGCACTCAATAAGGTAAGCAATGCTGGTGACATGAATGAGTCTACTCCAACTGACTTTTCTTTTCTTTTCTTTTCATCAGTCTTTTTTTTTTATCAAACATTGTTCAACATATTGTTTAAAAAAATATGTTAAAATATCAATCTCAAATGCCAACTAATATACTAAGTTTCTTTAAACAAATTTCCCATATACTATCGAATTTTGGATTATACAGGCTGATCTAATTTAAATATGGGAGAATGGGACTAATTGTCACACGGGGAAGTAGTCATGAGGGCTGTATCTCAGTCAGCAGCTATGAGGTTTTGAGTCATAAATCCAATTACATAAATGTGTTTTGACAATGAGTTAGTATGTTGGTTTCCAACAACTTCCAAAACCCTCTTAAATTGAATTCAATTCAAATTCACAAAACAGCATAAATATAAAAAGTAGTTTTGACCATTAAATATTGTATACTTAATACATTTTATATTTATGCTGTTTTGTGAATTTGCTGAGTTTCATAATTATTTTACTATAATAAAAGCTTTTAATAAGTTCGGGTGTGTATTCACGGTGTGGCAAATAGAATATAAAATAACCCCGTAGCAGATCTATACAGGTGGAGTGGGGAAGGTGGAGGGTTTCAGAGAACTCTGAAAGCGCGCTGCAGGAATCTCAAGTGAATACTAGCCAGCCATATAAATGCAAGGCAGTAAGCTCATTGGCTGCATATGCAGCATGAACCAATCAGCTTGTGCCAAGTCGTTTAACTCTCTGAATATCATCAGTTACGTTAACACAATGTCAGAATGCGCCATCTAGGGTTTCTTGACTGAACTATATATATATAATATCAATTTGTTAATGGGTCTTTATACTTTTGTGTGTGTGTGTGTGTGTGTGTGTTTTAGAGGAAAAGCAAGTCAACATCCTGATCAACAATGCTGGAATCATGATGTGTCCATATTCAAAAACTGCAGATGGCTTTGAGATGCAGTTTGGTGTAAACCATTTAGGTAATGTCACTTTAAGTTTTAAAATATGAAAGAGTGTATATACGTGCATACACTATTTACATTATGATGATGAATATTATTTAGTGAATTTCAGGGAGTTTGACCATGGCCATGAACCATAATTACATCTGAAATAGTTTACATTTAATGAAAAAACTTATTTCGCTACTGTTAATAAAGTACATTCTATACCCTATTGTTCAAAAGTTTGGGGTCAGTAAGATTTTTATTGGTTTTGAAAGAAGTCTTGCCAATACTGCATTTATTTGATCAAAAAGATAAAGTGAAAACAGCAATATTGTAAAATATTATTACAATCAAGTTAATTAATCTAATATATTTTAAAATGTAATTTATTCCTGCGATGACAAAGCTGAATTTTGAAGAGGCATTACTCCAGTCTTCAGTGTCAAGAGACATTTCTTATTATAATCCATGTTGAATTATAGTTGTAAAATATTTTTTAAATAGTTTATAGTTATAATATAGCATAACTGCTGTTTAATATTTTTTTGTGGCAACCATGATACATTTTTTCAGGATTCTTTAAATGTCTTTAAATGACTTTCCTGTCACTTTTGATCAATTTAATGAATCCATGCTGAATAAAAGTATTAATTACTTTAATAAAAAAAATGACTGACTCTAAAATTTTGAAAGGTAGTGTGAGTGTGCATATCTGTGCATACTACATCCAAATGTCTATTTCTATTTCAACATCAAAAATCGATGCAATTTTATAAATATCTGAGGCAATTTAAAGTTATTATTAACTAGTTTATCATCATTTTGTTGTAAACACTTATTATGACCCAGGAAGAATTAATACTCTCTGTAAATTTAGATTTCTTGTATCTAATCAATACTTGAACCAAAAAAGTGACCTCCATCAAGTTAAGCACAAATTGTATTTGATACCTGAACTCTGCCTGATTTGATATTCATGAGAGTACAACGTGACATTAAATGCAATATTTTTCCCTGTTAGACTACATAAACACAACCAAATCCAGGACACACAGTGGCAGAGGTGGTCTCAACTGATCTTTGTGTTTTTCACAGAGTATTTCCTTTAGGATGCAGAACTGTCCTAAGCATGTGTAGAATGACCTTTTTTCTGTGCTTGTCACTCGACACTGTGATCTGTTCAGAAGGGCCACAGAGGGATCACATTCATGCATGAAGTTCGCATTCATACCAATTCTAGTTTAAGAATAAAAAGGAATTATCTACTTGGCATTGTTGCAGATTTATATAGATTTTTGTTATGCCAACAGTTTAACTATGACAGACATGGAAGGAGGAGTAAAGGAATGTATCTAATATAATTATTATTTGAATCAAAAACTGATTCTATAACCCTATAAGCCTACTGTATCATATAATACACACATTTCTAAATCCTCTAAATTATCAACAGGATTAAAATTTTGCTGAAAAATCTCTACAAAATCTACTATATACCTTCTGTCATCTGACTGATTGTTTATACCTTTTCTTCTCATTTGAACTCTGCCTGATTTGATATTCATGAGAGTACAACGTGACATTAAATGCAATCTTTTTCCCTGTCAGACTACATAAACACAACCAAATCCAGGACACACAGTGGCAGAGGTGGTCTCAACTGATCTTTGTGTTTTTCACAGAGTATTTCCTTTAGGATGCAGAACTGTCCTAAGCATGTGTAGAATGACCTTTTTTCTGTGCTTGTCACTCGACTCTGTGATCTGTTCAGAAGGGCCACAGAGGGATCACATCCATGCATGAAGTTCGCATTCATACCAATTCTAGTTTAAGAATAAAAAGGAATTATCTACTTGGCATTGTTGCAGATTTTTGTTATGCCAACAGTTTAACTATGACAGACATGGAAGGAGGAGTAAAGGAATGTATCTAATATAATTATTATTTGAATCAAAAACTGATTCTATAACCCTATAAGCCTACTGTATCATATAATACACACATTTCTAAATCCTCTAAATTATCAACAGGATTAAAATGTTGCTGAAAAATCTCTACAAAATCTACTATATACCTTCTGTCATCTGACTGATTGTTTATACCTTTTCTTCTCAGAGTATGAGCTCCATATTCTCCTATATCATACAATAAGAGTCATAAAAGCCTGATACATCAAATATGATACAAAAAAAACCACATGCACACTATAGTTTTATTTGAATAAGTGAATCTGTTGTTTCTATTTAGTGAAACAAAATCAGCTTGTGATAAAAAAAATACCATGGGATTCCCATGCATGATTTTTATTTTTATTTTTTAAAAGGTACCACTTCTTTCTAGATTATATGCTGTGGCAATATCTTATTTTTGAACATGTATTATTTGATGTACATTAGCATGTAAAAACCATGGTGAATGAAGTATTGTAATATCTGTCACCATCACTTACCATTGTACCACTACAACACTTTCTATAAAGAAAAATCCAATGTAAATTAATGAAGGATTGAATCCAAAATAACAGACTTATTTCTATTAAAACATTTCTGTTCTTAATCATGGCAGTACAAAAGAAGAAAATACTTATTACAACTGTTTTAATCATGTGTTCACTTGTGTGTCATCTGCTAACTCTGATAGTGAAATATGGTCATGGTTGTGTTTGTAGGCAGTAGTGTGACTGTGTACTCCCTCCATCCCGGTGTGGTGCAGTCAGAGCTGTTTAGGAACCTCAGCAAGCCTGTGCAGATAGCAGTCAAGGTCTTTAGCCCCTTCACCAAGACCACCATTCAGGGGGCCCAGACCACCATCTACTGTGCTGTGGAGCCCAAGCTGGACAACGAGAGTGGAGGATATTACAGGTACAGAAGAAACATTTCAATAGAATTCTTAGTCCAGTTTACTCTCACGTGAGTCACGTACCGAAATGCGCACAAGACATCCACCATTTTAATTTGCATTAGGTTTTCACGATAATAAAACATGTTAAACATGCAATATAGAAATTATTCTAGTCATATTAATGCTCATTAAGACAGTGTCATTCATAAGCCTGAGATTCTGCTTTGTTTCTAGCGACTGTGCTGCAGCACTGTGTTCAGGAGAAGCTTTAGATGATGAAATGGCTCAGAAACTCTGGGAACTCAGCTGTCAGATGCTTGGCATTACATGGGACTGATGGAGCGCTCCTCTCAGTGACACTGTTATAAGAACGGAATGAAAGCTTTTGGACTAATGCCATAGATAATGGAAACTGTAGTATTCATACAATGCATGACTGAATTAGCACTATATGTTTTATATTGTACATCGAATACTCTTTTTTTAATACCCTTGGCTATGCTGTTATTATTTCAATAGACATAATGAATTGTTATGAATTCAAATGTATTTTGGTTTATTAAATGCTTTTATCTTATAAATTTGCATTTGTTTCCTTTTGCAGATGAGCTGCTTAAATAACTACAGTTAATGAACTAAGCAGAACTGCTTATCTGAAGCATGATTTCTCAGGATGTTTGCCTTCCTGCTATCATATAAAGTACGGAGCCCCTAAGGAGACATGGTGATGGAAAAAACAAATATGAGATGAAAGGAAAATTATATTTCAATATAAAGTGTAATGGTAAATAATATGGTGATGGAAAATAAAATGAGACCAGATGAAAATAGGGGGCGACCGATATGTGTTTTTCAGGGCCGATACCGATTATTTCAGATCAAGTACCGATTGATAACCGATATTTTGAATCGATATATATGTCTGGTGTAAAAATGAAAATGAATGTCAAAATTAAGAATAACAAGGGCTCTGACAAAAACTTTCTTTAAATGCTTTTAAATTATTTTATCGGCAAATTGTTTTTTTTTTAAGATATCGATACCGATAACAACAAAAAAGCTTAATTTTGGCGCTGATAATCGGCCAGGACGATAATCGGTCGAAACCTAAACGAAAACTCATATTTCAATGTTTTCACGTTCTCTTGCAAAAATGTTGTCTCCCTGAGAAAATGTGCATTCTCTAGCACGACTTTAGCATCAAAACTTCAAAACAAAGCATTTTATCATATATTTCAGTAGTTTTGCTAGCGAATACAAAGTTTCTTGAGGGAATGCCATAGCATTTTTCTTTCCATCTATTTTTTTTTCCCATCACAATGTTACCTAAGGGGCTCTGCACACCTCATATTATTTCCATCACAAAAGTTTTGAGGGCTCAGTACTAAATGAACGACAGATAAAATATAAGGGGAAAACATATTTGAATGGTTTTGCATTCGCTCACAAAACGTAAAAACTATTTACTCGTAAAAACTTTGCATTCAAAACTTCAGAGTTCACCTAGAAACTTTGCGTTCACTCGCAAAACTTTTGTGTTCACCGAGAAACTTTGTATGTTGTGAGCGAAGTGCGAATGCAAAAGCTATGAAATATATTTCCCATCTCATATTTTCTCCATCACCACGTCCCCATAGGAGCTTTGTAAAATTAAGCCTCGCTTAAGCATAGGATTCTATAATAGAACATGAAATGCCTCGCTGCAATTTTAAGGAAAACTGTGTTTGAGGAAAAAATTGTTTAGATAAACCGAAAAAAAAAAATGCATATGCCGCTGAAAGACAGTAGCCCCTCACTGCAGAACACAAGATCCAGGGGGCGAGGCTGGATCCACATCTAGGGGGTGGAGATTGGTAGCCTAGGTTTAGGTGTGGAATTGTACATCGAATACTCTTTTTTTAATACCCTTGGCTATGCTGTTATTATTTCAATAGACATAATGAATTGTTATGAATTCAAATGTATTTTGGTTTATTAAATGCTTTTATCTTATAAATTTCGATTTGTTTCCTTTTGCAGATGAGCTGCTTAAATAACTACAGTTAATGAACTAAGCAGAACTGCTTATCTGAAGCATGATTTCTCAGGATGTTTGCCTTCCTGCTATCATATAAAGTACGGAGCCCCTAAGGAGACATGGTGATGGAAAAAACAAATATGAGATGAAAGGAAAATTATATTTCAATATAAAGTGTAATGGTAAATAATATGGTGATGGAAAATAAAATGAGACCAGATGAAAATAGGGGGCGACCGATATGTGTTTTTCAGGGCCGATACCGATTATTTCAGATCAAGTACCGATTGATAACCGATATTTTGAATCGATATATATGTCTGGTGTAAAAATTAAAATGAATGTCAAAATTAAGAATAACAAGGGCTCTGACAAAAACTTTCTTTAAATGCTTTTAAATTATTTTATCGGCAAATTGTTTTTTTTTTAAGATATCGATACCGATAACAACAAAAAAGCTTAATTTTGGCGCTGATAATCGGCCAGGACGATAATCGGTCGAAACCTAAACGAAAACTCATATTTCAATGTTTTCACGTTCTCTTGCAAAAATGTTGTCTCCCTGAGAAAATGTGCATTCTCTAGCACGACTTTAGCATCAAAACTTCAAAACAAAGCATTTTATCATATATTTCAGTAGTTTTGCTAGCGAATACAAAGTTTCTTGAGGGAATGCCATAGCATTTTTCTTTCCATCTATTTTTTTTTCCCATCACAATGTTACCTAAGGGGCTCTGCACACCTCATATTATTTCCATCACAAAAGTTTTGAGGGCTCAGTACTAAATGAACGACAGATAAAATATAAGGGGAAAACATATTTGAATGGTTTTGCATTCGCTCACAAAACGTAAAAACTATTTACTCGTAAAAACTTTGCATTCAAAACTTCAGAGTTCACCTAGAAACTTTGCGTTCACTCGCAAAACTTTTGTGTTCACCGAGAAACTTTGTATGTTGTGAGCGAAGTGCGAATGCAAAAGCTATGAAATATATTTCCCATCTCATATTTTCTCCATCACCACGTCCCCATAGGAGCTTTGTAAAATTAAGCCTCGCTTAAGCATAGGATTCTATAATAGAACATGAAATGCCTCGCTGCAATTTTAAGGAAAACTGTGTTTGAGGAAAAAATTGTTTAGATAAACCGAAAAAAAAAAATGCATATGCCGCTGAAAGACAGTAGCCCCTCACTGCAGAACACAAGATCCAGGGGGCGAGGCTGGATCCACATCTAGGGGGTGGAGATTGGTAGCCTAGGTTTAGGTGTGGAGATGGGTGGGTTTATGGATCAGGGGGTGGAGACAGGTAGGTTTAGGTGTGGAGATGGGTGGGTTTAGGGATTAGGGGCTGGAGACGGGTAGGTTTAGGTGTGGAGATGGGTGGGTTTAGGGATTAGGGGCTGGAGACGGGTAGGTTTAGGTGTGGAGATGGGTGGGTTTAGGGATCAGGGGGTGGAGACGGGTAGGTTTAGGGATATGTAAGGTGGGAGGAGTTGGATCTGGATCCAACCTCGCCCCCTGGATCACGTGTTCTGCAGTGAGGACCATCTCCTGATAGACAGCAATGCTGTTTCTAGCTCTGCAGTAATAATGATGTGGACAGGTCGGTTTGCGCCGTGAACTCCAGTCGCTAGATGGCAGTTAGCACATCACTGCGCAGGAGTTGTGAGCGAGCGCGCGCGCATGCGTATATCTGAACGCAGCGTCAGTCTTTCCCTAAACTACGTGGCTTTACACTCAGCGAAGTCAGTTTGTTACTTACAGCTGAACAACTGCTTCGTCCTTTGATTTGTCAACACAGGTAAGCTTCTTTTCGTCGACTTTGCGTCTTTAGTAGTCTATATTGGTATAAAGTAAAGAATGCCGTTTTAAAATGAGGTTATACGGTTGTGTGTCTTACTGAGGACGAGTCTGCTGTGATTGGCGAGTTTCAGCGTAAACACAGTTTCTGATCGATCAGATATGATCACTTTCTTAAACTGAGTTTAGAAATGCTTCATATTTAGATGCGTATGTTCTATTGCTTTATGAATCAATTTAGAAATGATTATCAAAGTCGTTTGCTAATGTTTTTATCTAGTGTAAAGTGCGCAACATGCAGGCTAACAGTGCTAGTTAGCCAGTCTGTAGATTATATTCAGACTCGTTGGTCATTAAAGATTTGTAGTTGGTTTATTAATTTAAGGATTTAACAACTAGGACCTTTTGAGAATCTATTTGAAAAACTAGCTTTTCAGTAAATGGGATTCTTGTGCTTGGGTTTCGGGGTGGAGGGTAACTTAACTGTTATCTGGGGCTTTAATACATTCATACGTAGTGAACCCTGTATAAAGCATCTGACTGGTTTCTTGAAATGTCCTCTTTTCCTGTGAGATAGTGGTGTAGTAATGCAGAGGTCTGGATGTGGTTCTGTTCTCTGATGTGGGTGTTTAGTGTTTGTAGTTCACAGTCGTGTGAGTTGAAATGTTCTGTTCTCTCCAGCCTCACACCAGGATGGATCAGGTCATGCAGTTCGTGGAGCCCAGCAGGCAGTTCGTCAAGGACTCCATCAGACTAGTGAAAAGATGCACAAAGCCAGATAGAAAAGGTACGTCCAGTCATTTATCTTTCTCATTCAAAGATTTGGTAAGCATAAAGAAATTTCAGGAATACTGATGCTATAATTATACATGAAAGTATTAATTTTATTAAGTTTTCTTAAGCTGAATGCAGATTAATTGTTTGTGACAAAGTCAAAGATATTGGTTATGAAAAAGAGAAAAATCTTACAAATAGACCGCAAATTGGAGGACAACGGTGTGAAACAAGTAATGTTTATAAAAGAAAATAAATATTGAGTATTTTGAACTTATTGCAAACTATATAGTGTTATATTTGTGTTTACTGAGCATATTTAATATTACATGTACTTAAGTCTGTTTCACGATTATGATAAAATAGCTTTTTTTTTAAATTTCTGGTCTCTAGAATTCCAAAAGATTGCCATGGCAACAGCAATTGGCTTTGCCATCATGGGCTTCATTGGATTCTTTGTCAAACTCATCCACATCCCCATCAACAACATCATTGTGTAAGTAATCCACAAAAAAACAATGTAATTCAGTCTTTTATTGCAATTAATGTGGGAAAACCATTGATTACTAAAACATGATACAATCAAATACTACAGTGCATATACAGTGCCTTTTGAACAGACATCGTTTCATTCAGTTTTTGATTTGATTTAGTCTGTGATTAAAGCAGGATTGTTTGTCTTTTGTTAACAGTGGTGGTTGAATCAGCTGCATTGTGAGGCCAAATGGACCTTCGGCTGCCTGAAAGTGTTGGATGATGGACTGAATGCGAACATTTGTAAAAACATTTTTTATTTTTTTTTTGTGTGTTAACATTTATATTTGGCTGTGTTAATAAATCAAAGGCTACACTACTAATTGTCTTCATTAATAAAATGC